CTAACCCCCAGAGCCTAATCAGGAGCTGAGGAGTGGCCAAGGTCAGCATTCCACAAGGGCCAGGGAAGCAGGAGCGTTTTATAAAGGAATATGTGACAAATGCCAGGGATGTCACTCACGTCTCAGGAGCCAGACTTCATCAGTTTTATCGAGGTTCTGCTAACTTCTTACTCATGGAACTGGACAAGTTACACCACTATGTGCCTTGATGTTTTCATCTGTAAAGTGGGATAATTGTGGCACCTTCTCACTAGGTGGCTACAGGATTGTTGAATTAGTGCCTAGGACTTGGTGAAGTGTAATAGGAGCATCCAGGGAGTGGGCCTTCCATGAATGTGGGCCTTTCTGTTGTTATTTTCAGTATTCATACTGGACTTAGTCCTAAGACTGAGCCCAGCAAGGTCACCGGGGCTGCAGGACCTGAAGAACAATGACAGAGCCACGTGGACCAGATCTAAATCCAGCCCAGGGCACTGCTTAGGTGGGTAGAGGACCCTGGAGCAGGGCTGTCTGTAGACTAAGAACAAGAAGAACAGTGCAGAGTTGGGGTAAGCCCCAGAGAACACGGAGCTTCCATAGTGGTAACACGTGCTCGTTCTTTGAATCAGTAGTTGCTGCCATGTGAGGATACAATAACAATCTCAACCGATATATCACTTAAGAGGGAAGGGGGAGGGGGACTTGGGGTCTGTTACTGTTTAAATCCAAAATGTCCCCAATAGGTTTGAAAACCCATCTGGTTCTGAAGGTTACAGTACCTTTAAGAAGTGGATCGGGCTGGAGAGATGGCTCAGCAGTTAGGAGCATTGACTGCTCTCGCAGAGGACCAGGGTTCAGCTCTAGCACCTACCTGGTGGCTTGCAGCCATCCATAACCCCAGTCCCAGGGGATCCAACACCCTCTAGACATACAGGAAGACAAAATCTCAATATACATAAAATAAATAAAAATTAGCAACAGCAGCCCAGAAGAAGAGGAGGAAGATGAGGCAGAAGGACCTAGCTTCTGTGGTGGGTCATCCAAGGGCCCAGCTCTCAGTTTCCTGGTCCAGCCTTCCTGTGAGGGGTTTTGTGTTCTTACTGCCATGCCACCATGCCTTCCACACTGAAATGACCTAAAGCCCTCTGAGACTGTGAGCCAAAATGATTGCTCCTGTCACACTCTTTATCATAGGGATGAGAAAAGTAACTAAAACAGAGTGACCTCTAGGACTTTGCTTCAGTATCATTGCTGCTTCTGAAACCCCACTGAGGATAAGGAAGGCACCATTTAAGAGCATCAGGCTGTGATCTTCATATACTTTTTTTGGCTATGAGCCTAGCCTTTACCAGTTGAGGTGTTGCTCCATGTCTTCCTTATCTATGAGGTCCAAAGGGAAGAGTGCCAGGGGAAGCTGAGTCCCCTGTGTGTCTGAGAACCTCCTCCAGGCCAGGATCCTGTTCTGGGACCCATATGAGTCATACAAGGCCCAGCCTGTGTGCTCAGTCTCTGGAGGGAGAGGCAGGATTTGGCTGACTAAATGGAGCTCAGAAGCTTGTTCTGTGACCTGTGTTGTTATGCATCTGTTTATACTGACCTGTGGTTTTCCAAATTAAGATGTTTTGACTTTGATAGCACAGAAGTGATCCGGCCAGTAGAAAATGAATCTCACCTTTTATATTTGTCTGTTTTGTTGTGTTTTTAAGGGAGTACAAGGGGTTTTCACTATGTTGCTAGTCTTGTCTTAAACTCAAGGAGTCATCTCATTTCAACCCCAAAAATAATTGAGACCAGAAAAATGGGGCATGGCCCCCAGATCTTCAAAATTTGGAGGTGGATATCTTCCCAGGCTGGCGGTAAGCAGCGTCATAATTCCTCAAGATGCAGTGTGAGCAAACCACAGCTGCAGGCAACCATGAGGTCACAGGGTGAACAAGGACACTGTGTGGAGTGCTGTGACATTGCCCAGCACCGTGTTGCAAAGGTCAGTAGCTGGGTGTGTTCAATGACGTTTCCACTTAGGTTAGGGGTGCAGGACTCTCCTGGGAGCCAGACGGCCTCTGTAACTGCAATATGGGAAGCAGACTTTGGGTTCCATGATGGCAGAGAACACAGACCAGACAGAGGTGACATGTTCCCAAGTCTTGTCTTCTGGGTGCCAGTGCAGGCTTCTCTTAGAAGCAGCAAGCAGAAGTCTATGACTTTCTTCCTGGGTCATTAGATGGCCTTCAGAGGACCCTGACAAAGGGAAGGGTGCTGGACAGCTTGACCTCCCAAGGGCCTATTCCTCGCATATCCACTCCTGTTCACTCTCTAGCTCCCAGGCATTCCCAGACTTCCCTCTACAGTTTTCTAGGGTGTCTACCGAAGGAGAAGGCCCTCCGGGTGGTCCATTCCAAAGATCAGCAGCCGGAACGGACAGTGCCCCACAGCTCTGAGTTAAGTTCAGTTCCACTTGAGGCATTTTATGGACCCAGCCTGGGTAAACAGGGGCCCCATTAATGCACCAGAGTTTCACCTCTGCTGCTGTTGGTGTCAACTCCCACAGCCCGAGGCGATGGAGCGTGAGCCCCATGGCAACTTGAAGAAGGCAAGTGAGGACTGAAGTGACCATGTGGCAAGGACACCTCCAGTCTCCACAGCCCTATTCAGAGCACCAGGGCAGAGGCTGGAGAGGGCAGCGGGCAGTGACACACTGAGGTCGAGACAGAGCTAGAACCATCCAGCTGCTGGGCACTGCGAATCACAGGCTCTGGGCCTCTCCTGTGGATAGGTCTTGTGCCCCACAACTGCAGTTAAGACATGTGGTCTGATAATACCTGAGTTCTTAGGGGGAGCAACTGGAAAGAGAGAACTCTGGCTTGTTTATCTCCCATTCCTCCCCCACGCTCCACACACCTTTCCTGGTGCCAGCTATGCTCCAGGCTCTGAGATGAGCCTGGAGACCCTGAGATGAGTCAGACCTGGCCTTTGTCCAGAATGAAGTCACAGTCTGATGGAGAGACAGGTGTGGACACAGGCAATGACAATGACAAACCAGTGTGCTCATCTGAGACAAAGAGAAACCTGAGGACAGCCCCCCTCAACATTGCCTGGGGGCAAGAGGGCCAGGGAATCCCCTGGGAGGGTAGTAGGAACTTGACCTGAATGTTGAAGATGGATTCATCAGCTAGCTAAACTCTGGAGGGATTCCCAGGCAGAGCAACAGCACCTGCGAAATGACAGTACCGTGGAGGGACTCTCACAGCTGGGCCAGAGGCAGATACTTGGTAAATAACTTCTGAATAAGTGGAGAGATGGATAAATCTTAAAAAGTTTACTGTAGCTCTGGTGTGGGAGATAGAGGCATAGAAGAATCTGGAAGGGGCTGGAAGCTGAGAAAACCATTCTCAAGAACTTAGGTGGATTCTGTCACTTGGGGATCTGGGACAGGGTTTAAGCAGCCAGGGCCAGGACTCTCAGGAAACTGGGTTAGTGGTATTGGGTCAAACACACATATCCAGTTAAATCTGCAACTCAGGAAATGAATGGTTTTAAGGGGAGGGTATCTTTACTTTTCTTACTCATTCTGGCAGCTCCAGTTTGGAGCAAGGATGGAGATAAAACCAGAATTGTGGTCCAGGGGACTTTATGATGGCCTGAATGGGCAGGGGCTGGGGGAAAGGGAGGACGACTGAATTATGGTTGTTGCTTTTTAAAATGGAAACTTGATTTTGAGGGTGTGGATCAGTTGGTAGAAGGCCCAGCAAACACAAAGCCTTAGCAAACAGGTCTGATGGCACATGCCTATAATCCCAACATTCCGGGAAGGAAGGCAGAAGGATCAGAAGTTCAAGGCTATCCCAGGATATATCGCAAGTTCAAGTCTTGAACAATCTACACTACAGGAGACTGTTCAGAAAAGGGGGAGGGAGAATCTTTCCTGAAGCATAATATACAAAGAGGAAATAAATCATACAAGACACAAACACACCCATCTCAGTGCGTCATCAGGTGAACCATCTGATAACCAGGTGGTCCAGGAAGTGAGCAGTGCCCTGTGTTGACTACAGGGCCCTGGGTTGAAACTACAGGCCTGGGAATATCTAGGAGTCCAACAAAGTCAGGCTGTCTGAGAGCGGATGGTCGTAAACAAATTTATTCACATGCTCCCTCTTCACCTGCAAGTCAGACTTCATCCTCTGCCCGCCTTGGACCTTGTTCTCCACATCTTCTCCATCACCTATCCTCTGCATGCCCTTTGCCTAAGGTGGTGGGACCGAGGGAAGAGGATAGGCACATATGCCCACAACCGCAAGTCATACAAACTTCCTCCAGCAAATGGAAAACAGTTGACCATGATGGAAATAGAAAACTAATTCCCCTGCATTCTAGGGACAAGATCGTCCCTAGACATCACAAACCACTCACGGGCTAATGCATCTGGACTGCATCTCCTGCCTGTGATTACAACAGAGGACAGTGGAACGGTACGTGCACAATAAACATAACTTTAAATAGCTTGGAAATGTCAATCACCAGTGTTGGTCAAGGAAGGGTCATCCCTTTGGGGAGCTACTCTTGCCCTCTGGACTCAGAAAGAGGAGCTGTAGAGCAGCAGGCTTGCTGGAGTATGCTCCCCCTTCTTGAGAGAACCTCTTGATTTTATTAAACCTACACCTTTCACTACTGCTTCATCTGTCTTGTTCAATTCTTTGAGACACAAAGAGCATGGACACGGGTTCGTGGGAGGCTTCAGAGTCTTCCCTTCAGTAACATGATTCCCACATGGAACCTGATTTCCAGCATCTCCTGTCCCAGCCACTGCCACAGTCTGGTTGTGTCTGAGACAGTCCTGGTCCTCTAGGGATCTCTGTGTTCCCTCCTCTACAACAGAAGCCAGGCTCTGGGCCCTTTGAGGGTCCAACCTCCAGTCTCCAGACCATAGCTGCTCTCAGTGGCTCTTCTCAATGCATCCCTGTTTGCAAAGGTCTTGCGTCTCTGGCAGGCACTGCTTGCTTAGCTTGAGTATTTCTGTCCCAGTTGCCTGCTTCATATCAACAAGCACCTCTCCCCTGAGCCACTCACAGCCCTGTCCTGTCTGCATCCAATGCCAAGGTCTGGGGATCCTCACTGGGACACTCAGCCTTGGGTTGGCCCAATCATGACTTAGACCCAATCTGGAGCCCCTGGCTTCTCTTCTCCAGACCTTGAAGTAAAGACGGGGTGTGCTCCTTGTCACCAGTGCTGGCAGCCCAGGAGAAGGTGAAGCTGAGGAGCAGATGAAGTTGACTGAATGCCACACTGCCTGCCCCTCCTCAGGACCCCATGGAGGCTTGCAGGACGATGGTATGTGCTAGGGAGGGGCCATCTTGGTGCAGCTGGGGCTGGGTACAGAGACTTCTCTCGGACCATGGCCCATTGCACCTGGTGGTTCTCTGCAAAGCCAGGAAGTCTTGGTGTTTTCAGAAGGAAATGAGCAGGTCGTGTTCGTGAGGAACAGACAGCCCTAGGAAAGGGCTCCAAGGGGAACTCGCCATGGAGGGAGACCAGAGCCTTTCCCTGTGAAGCAATGCAGGCAGGAATTGAGCAGGTCTGACAAACAAATTGGCCATGTCCATACCCTGGTGCTGTTGAGAGATGTCTCCCACCTAGGACAGCAGTTCTCAACCTGCGTGTGGGTTGAAACCCCTTTGGGTTTGTATATCAGATATCCTGCATTATGATTCATAGCAGCAGCAAAATTACAGTTATGAAGTAGAGATGAAGTAATTTTGTGGTGGAGGAGCGCTGGCTTAGGAGAGCTTTCTGACAGGGAGATTCTGAGGGGACCATGTAGGATGAGCTGAGAAGAGAGGGCATTGGACTACTCTTACCGCCTCAGGGACTTCACAAATCAGAGCTGGTGGGGGAGGGGAGGTCATTGCATCCTGCCTGAGAGGCTGAATAGGGGGTTCCAGGCCCAGGACAGCTGCCCAGGGGCTCCAAGGGGCCTGGAGAGTCCCATCAACCCACCATTTACCAACCTGCCTTCCATCATCCAGGCCTCTGCTTAGCAGTAAAGCCAATGCCTGCCCTGTGTGGGAAGGGGTTGAAGACAGAGCAGCTCAGATCCTGCCTCCCAGGGGCTTCAGGCCTTGTGTGTGTGGGTTACAAGACAGCTAGTGACACGGGTGACCTGAGGTGGGTGGCAGGCCCTGACTTCTCTGTGGGCTTGGGGCTTGGACCACTCTAACATGATTCCCGTAAAAGGGGTAGTCAGCCAATGCACGTGTTGTTTGGTGGGGCTTTGCTGTTGTGTGGTTTTTATTTGGTTTTGTTTGGGAGTTTTGCTTGTTTTGTTTTGGTGTTTTAAGACAGGGTCTCACTATGTAGCCCTGGCTGTCCTGTAACTATGTAGACCTCAACTGCAGCAATCCCCCTGCCTCCGCCTCCAGAGCAGAGATTACAGGTGCATGCTACAACACTTAGGACCAATGGTCTTCTTTCTTCATTCTAGCTAGGAGTCCCAGGTGAAGGCCAGATGCGTGGTCACCAAGGGGCCACCCCCTGGCTCATGGTTGGCCTGTCTGCCTGCAGTGCCATCACATGGTGGAAAACAGAGGAAACAGACTTTCTCGTTTCTTCTCTTTACTTCATTTTTTACACTTATTTATTTTTTTGAGTGTAGAGTATATGTAGGGGAGGTGGGACAGCACGCCATGGCAGGCATGTGGAGGTCAGAAGACAATGTGTAGGATTCCTCTCTCTCCTTCGCCAAGTGAGTTCCAGGGATGGGACTCAGGCTGTCAGTCTTGACAGCAAGCACCTTTACCCCGTGAGCCCCCTCCAAGGCCCAAATGTCTCTTCCTAAAAAGGCAGGAATCCCAGCATGGGGGATTGATAATTACTTCCAAAACCTCCACTTTTGGTCACACTGGGGGGCACGGGGATCAACCATGAATTCAGGGAGACCCTGTATGCAGTGCCTTTCCAGCTCGCCTAACTACACACCACCTGTAGCACCATCCTCCACGGCAGAGGGAACTAGAAGCAACCCAGTGGCCCACATAAGTCAAAGCAAAGAGCAGCAGCCCGGGCTCGGACTGCAAAGCTCATGGCTCCTTCACAGAGAGGGAGTGAAGTCCCAAGTGGAAGCTGGCAGAGGCTGTATTGAACTGCCCAGTCTGTCTGAGGAAGATCCTGGCACAAGTCCAGGTGAGTGGAGCCCAGTCCTCCTACTAAGGCCTGGCCACTGCATCCCGCACAGGCCCCTCTCCGGGGCCAGCTGGAAGGACTTCAGAGGCCCTAAGCTGGGAGAGGTGGGAGAGGCATGCAGCTTGGCACTTCTTCAGGGACAGATCCCAGCCCCACAGCCTCTCTGAAGGAGACTGGGCAGAGGTGGGGGCTATGGGACTGGAATGGAATGTGCATTGTCCCCAGAATTTAGATTAGGAGGGTGATCTGGGGAAGGGCCCAGAACAATGGAAACCTGGGGGACCTGCTTCCTGGACAGACAGAGCAGGGGCAGGGAGGGGCAGGGAGGGGCAGGCTGAGGTGAAGGTGCTGCATTGAGACCACCGAACAGATGAGAGGCCTCCTTTCTCCCTCCCTTTTCTCCACAGAACCCAGGAGCTAAGGCCAGGCAGGTCCTACTCACCAGAGGATGCTGAGACATCTGAGGATGCCCAGAGCTCTCCCCTCGAAGTCAGGACTGGTCTAGCAGCCCTGTGGGATGGGCTTAGGGGCAATTGTGGCTCCATTTCACAGACTGAGATCCTGAAGTCCAGAGGCATGGATGTACCACATGCAGTCATTGGTACATGCATCCCTGGGGACATACACCCCTGGGGACACGCACCTCTGTTTTTGTTAGAGTTAGTTCTGGTCAAGAGTCTAGAATGTCTGGCCTAGGTGGAGACCTAACATTCCAGTTGGGCCATGTCATTTTTCAGCCAAGAGAACGGTCCTGTGGTGGTGGGTTCACTTTAAGCCGTGCTAAAGAGATGAGCAGAATAACTAGCCTTTAGTGAGATACACCCTACTTTTCCTTGCAGAATCCCAGCCTTCTAGTGTAGTAGCTTAGGGCTACAGCCACATAACATGTCTAAGTCTGCCCTGCCCATTTTCCTGAATTATTCAGAAAAAGTGTAACTTCTCCTTCTCTCCTTTCTGCCTCTTTTCTAAGCATTATTTCTTTTCAGACCTTCCCTCCAACACTTAGGACTCTCCTACACATTCCCTAAAGCCTCACCTCCCACCCAGATCTGCCTGTCTGCCATGCATCTGCCCTCCATGCCAGCCTAGTGGCATGGCCTTTGTCCTCTCCTCCACTCTTGTCCTCTGGGCAGCTGTGAGGTTTACCGCTTGCCTGCCTCAGGGGTTTTGTTTTAAACTCTAATAAAATGGTCCTTGAGCTTCCATTTTGAGTCCTTTCTCAAATTACTTTATGAATGAAACCTCTAAGGGGCATCCCGATTTCCGCTGTATGATTTTGTCGTTGCCACATGGGTCTTCTCTATGGACAACCAGGTGGTACACTCTTCCCTTATCGTCACCTCAACTCCACAGAACCCAGGAGGCCAGTCACTTCAGGACCAAGAGCTTTTCCACCCCGGAAATGTACCACGGTTTCCTGTCCAGTGCAGGGCGCCCTGGGGCTCGCTCCCCAGCCACTCTCCCTTTCAACAGTTCCTTGGTTTGCCTTGCCCTGGGTTCTTACTCAGGGGTTCGTTCTCAGTGGGTTCTTTTTTCATGTCACTCTTTTGGAGGGCAACAGCTCTTACAGAAATAAAGGGGTCTGGGCTTTGAGGACAAGAACAGCTCTGCCATTTCCACAGTGTGAAGTTGGCCAAGTCACCTCTCCTGGCAGTTCAACAGATGGGAAGAGGGAATATCTAAAATGCCTTATATGAAAGCCCCAAACCCTAGAAGCCCTGAATGTGCTAACCCTCCCCTCCTCATGCCAGACACTCCCTGGATCCTCATGCTCTTTCCATGTGCCATGCTAGCAGGGTCCTGGCTCAGACCTGACCTGTGTTGGGACAGATAAACATACACCCAATACAGCTTCTAGCCTCTGGCCCAGATGTGTCCCTGGAGGTGTTTGCTGGGGCCCTGATGGATGTCCCTAGTGGATTCTCTGTCGCATGAAGAGCCTAGAGCCTGTTTTAGGGTGGATCTAATCAACTTGCCTTATGAGAATGCTGAACACACATACTCTCTCATCATCACATTTTATGTTGCTGTAATGTCTGTGCTCTCCAATACACTCACTCACGTGCACACGTGTGCGCGCGCGTGCACACGCATACATACACACACACACACACACACACACACACACACACACACAGAAATAGAGAGAGAGACACCTTATCATTGCCCTACCTAGTTACTCCATGTACCTATCTGTGGTAGAGTTAGAATGTAATTGAACCCCATAAGCTCATAGGGCAGCACTATTAGGAGCTGTGGCTTTGTTGGAGTAGGAATGGCCTTGTTGGAGGAAGTATGTCACTGTAACGGTGGGCTTTGAGTTTTCCTATGTATCTCAGTTGACTTCCGGTTGCCTTCTGACCAAACTGTCACCAGCACCATGTCTGTCTGCCATGTTCCCCACCATGCTTCCAGCCTAAATAATGATACTGGACTGAACTGATGAAACTCTAAGTGAACCACCTCAATTAAGTGTTTTCCTTATAAGGGTTCCATGGTCAATGTGTCTCTTCACAGAAATAGAAATGCTAACTAGTTTGAGTGTAATTGGCCCCTGTAAGCTCCTAAGGAGTGGCACTATGAGAAGGTGTGTCCTTGTTGGAAAAAGTATGTCTCTGTGGGGGAGGACTTTGAGGTCTCTTTTGCTCAAGCTTTGCTCAGGGTGACCCTCAGAGCATTTCCTGCTGCCTGCAAGATGTAGAATTCTCCAGCACTATGTCTGCCTGCATGCTGCCATGCTCTCCACCATGATGATATGTATTAAACCTCTGAAACTGTGAGCCACCTCAATTAGATATAGTCATGGTGTCTCTTCATAGCAATAGAAACACTAAGGCACTATCCATTATCTCTTCACCCATCTATCCATTCACCACATCCATCCATCATTCATCTATTCCTCCACCCACCCTCCATGTCTCCTCCTCCTACCATCTGTCTACTCATACATCACACCCACCTATCCACTCACCCATCATTGATCCATCCAGCCATCCAGCCATCCAGCCATCCACCCATCCATCTATTATCTATCTATTATCTCTCTGCCCATCTATTCACCCTTCCTTCCTTCCTTCCTTCCTTTCCTCCTTCCTTTCTTTCTTTCCACCTGTCCCACATTTATGAAGAGCCACATTTAGGAGTCCCAAACCTCAGTTTCCTCAGCTCACAAGGCCAAAGGCATAGACAAGGCATCACCAGTGCATCATGATCAGAGTGAGAAGCCCGAACCATAGGAGCCCAGTATGAGTGCCTCAAGGAAGACTTCTAAGAGGAGCTTGAAGGTGAGTTCCAGGGCAAGGGAATCCTGGGGAGCGGGGCTCCTATTTGCTGGATATTGCAAGAGAGACTGGGCAGGGACTTTGTGCCAGCTTTAGTCAGGTGGGCTGGGGTGTTAGTGAGAGGGAGCCTGTGTCTGGCTAAGCTCATCTTGGATGGTCATACTGCCAGCTCCTGTGATGCCATCCAGATAGACCGTGCTGGCCTGTGGGCCCAGATCCTCTTAGGAAAGTCCCGTCCATGCCCCAAGCCTCAACTGAGCACCACTGCTCTCCCTTTACCTCACAGCAGGAAAACCTGGGCAGAGCAAGTCCTCCATGCAGGAAGTGGGCACTCACTCCCCAAACCATCATCCTGACACTTCTGTCAAGGCTCTGGGATCCTCCCCTCCGTGCCTGGCCAAACCTCCCAGGTACTTCCAGCTTCTGTGCCAGTCTCTGTCTTCCTAAGCCCTCAATTCCAGGACAGGCAACCCTTCTTCATGCTCACAGCCTCACCTGGCATCCAGGTGCCAGTCCAGCTCTCAGCCTTGCCCACACCATCCCCCCTGGCATGGAGTGAGCCAGGTTCTTCAGGCCCCAGGGCGTGTCCTGCTTCTTTCTGCCTGGAGCCTCTTGGCGGAGAGTTGGGGAGATGCAGGAGGAGGGGAGCCTGGATGGTTGAGGGGCAGGACAGTGCAGGCATGGAGTAGGACTGGACTGAGCTGTCTGGGCAGGGACCACTTTCTCAGTGCCAGTGGACTCAAAGACTCATGATGTCCAGAGATTTCCAAGGTCAGAGGGAGTCAGTAAGACCCTCCCAGTCCAGCCCAACAAAGCCCCTGCAATTCACAGGGGCCTCTATTGTCATCCTAGAGTCTCAACTTAGGTGCAGCTGGGCACACAATTAGCTGAGACCAACCCTGGCCAGGTTTTCTCAATAAAATTTCTGAGCCCCAGAACATGAAGGGTGGTGAACTAATGCCCTCCCCCACTACACCCCAGGGCTTTCCCATTTCCACCTCTGGCTGTGCAGGCATGCATGACAAGATGTTAGAGGTTCCTAACTGTTCAGCATTGGCATTTCCCATACTCTGGCCCATGGGTCTCTCCCCAAGTTCTTCCAGCCTTGCGTGTGAATCCAGAGGGCTGTGTACAGTCTCAGTTCCCAGGACCTAGAGGTGTCCCTCCAACTAGAGGCTCTAAGAGCCACAAAGGCAGGAGACCACTAAGCAGTATGGATGACAAGCTGCAGGAAGGAAAACATTACTGACCAACAGGGCCCTGAAGTTGGGCTGACTGGCGGCAGCATCCTGTGGCATGTGCTGACCTTGGAGCAGGATGCCCTAGTACCTGCATCTCCTAAAGAGTGCTGTAGAGCTCCATGCCAGCATCAGAGAGCATCATAGGGACAGCATCAGCATCAGCATGAGTATCAGAGAGCATGGTAGGGACAGCTCATCAACACATCTTGGGGGAGCACCATATCTGCATCTCTTGTGGAGCACTATGGGAACACTCCATGAAGCATGGTTTCATGTAGAGTGTCTTAAGAAAGCAGCACCTGGCATGGCTCTCGGCAAGTGTTTAATAAGATGTCCTGAGGTCCTGAGGTCACCTTTCTTTTTCTTTTCTCTTTTTCCACCCCTACGGCAGGGTCTATGTATATCGTCTGGTCTGGAAGTCCCAGTCTCCTCACTTCAGCCTCCTGAGAACTGGAATTACAGGCATGGGCCAGCTTAAGTGGAAACATGTTTACCCCTGTGGCAGTTGGGGCCAGTCTCACTCAAGAGCATCCCGGAGCCCCAGGCTTGCCTTAGATACTTAGAGCCAGTTCAGTATCTCCCTCCTATAAAGGCCTGCAGTCAAGGTCCCCCAATGCCTCACAGCCATTGGTACTGATATCAGAGGGAACCCAGAAGGGAGGCATTATCACACTGTAGCTCTCTAGTGGGCGCTGTGCCCAGTACACTGCACGGCTACCTTCTCAACTTGGTCTTAATGTGCTAACCTGTGCTGTGCAGCCTCCAACCATGCATGCTCAGCCTTCCACCGGCCTCTAGGTCTTTCCTAGAAGCACAGTCCCCCACCCTGCTAGGCATACCTGGCCTGTATTCCAATTCTTCCTCCCCCATAGCTAGGGAGCTGTCATGTAGTCTCTGACAGGGTCATCGCGTCTCATGTCTGTTGTTCAAGTGTCTGATCTGCCCCTGGCCTTCTTCAGTCTTTGAACATGACTCTAGTTAGACCTGGGGTGAGCAGTGCCCAGGCTGCCACACAGGTGCAGGCTTCAGGCTGTTCTTTCCCTAGCCCTGGCCCCCATTTCACCTCTTGAGAGTGTATGCACAAACGCCTGCCGAGTGTCTTCTGTGACAATACATTCCCGAGGTCAGCAAATATTTGCCGCCTGCGGTTCAGCCCACCTGCAGGCCACCCAGGGTAGGAACAGGAGGGAGAGTGGCTAGGAGCCAGCAAGAGGAGGCTGCAGAGGAGGACCCTATCATCTTGGGATTGCATCACTAGAGGCATGGGCACCAGAACCATGAAGGGGGTGTGCCTGGGAGTGCTGCCAGCTTTGGACACCTTGGAACAACTGGAGCTTGTCTGGGGTGGGCAAAGTTAGGTGAGCGGAATAGCTGGCTCCTGGTGAAGTCTGGCTGACTGCTGAAGGCTGCTGGCTGTGTTTGAGATGACTTAAGTGTGTCATAACAACACTGAAAACCTTCAATTGTGGACCATTAGAGCATATACAGAGCTGCAAAGAATAGCATGGGGATTCCCCTACATAGACTACTCCAGGGTCAATGGCCAAGCAGAAGGTCACCACTTCCTTTGCCAGCATGAAGCATGAAGCCTACACTTATGGCAGCATTTTTTATCTCATCACTGGTTTCTCTGGAGACCCTGGTGCTCATGTAAAGTAAGACTGAGGCTGGTCTTGGGGGTCCCTAGACACATTAGGACCTCTTCCACCGGGGCTGGCATTATGGTGGCTGACTGAGTCACCAAAAAGTGGGGGAGTTCCAACTTCTGAGTTCCAACCCTGCTGAAGGAGCCTGCCCATGTGTGTCTCCCTGTGAGGGAGGAGAGTGAGCCCCGTTTTACACATGATGAAACAGAGCTGTAGAGATAGTATTCAGTGGCAAAGGTGGGTTGGGAAAGGGCATCGGGTCCTAAGCCCACCTCAGTCTTTACCAGTGCACACCAAAGAGAAAAATTGTCATTTGACAAAGAGGTGTTAGGATGCTAAGTATCTAATCATTGTCCTCTCACTGTCTGAGGGTCTTATACAGACCATGGTGTGGCACTCCACAGGGATGGTGAGGCATTCCATGGGGACTTGGAGACTTCGGGTACTGAACCACTCACTTCTGATGGAAGGCTGAGGCCAGGGGTGGGCAGGGCTGTCAGAAGTAGTTTTTGTGGCTATCCTTCTCAAGTAGCTCTAAGCACTATGGAAAGATAATGAATTGTCATCCTTGTCTGGCCCTAACACACTGGAAATGGCTTGAATTGGAACATCACAACCACTCTCTGCAGTGATCTTTCTGTCCCCATCTGCGAGGTGGACTTTCTTCCCTGATCATACTTAGGTAGTTAACATTTGAATCCAGGGAGGGTACCCCAAAGTTACTGTGGTCATCTCCACTCTTGTTGGTTGCCTGATTTGCAAGGAGCCTGGGAAAGGCTCTCTTGACCTAGAGTCTCTCATTCCCCTCCAGCTACAAAGGAGGTTTGAAGCATTCCTTTCTTGGAGAGACATTAACTATATAGTCTTCCTCTTTATAAGGTCCCAACAACCATGCAATCCAGCCAAAGTTTACTTAGGGCACCAAAAAGGTTTTGGGCTTCCTTGCAGACACCCTGGGAAGTCTACACCCAGCATGGCTGTTAGGTCCTCCAAGGCCCCATAGATGGAGCCCTCTCTGCTAGGCACCCCAGCCCATGTACTCTAGTCCCTCCCAAGACCCTGAGGCCATGTGCATTTAGGGCAGATGTGACTGAGAGGAGAGGGGCTAATGACCTTCTGCCTCCTTTTGAGGAAATGACAACAATCATCCAGCTGGCTCCTCATGGCCTCTTGCAAGCAGGCACAGCTGATTCGATAAAGGTGACAACTGTTTTACTTGGAGGACCACATTTTATAACACGGCCATTTCAGCATGTGTGGGAATAGGAGGTTCAGGCTTGTCTCTGTCTCTCTGGCTCTGCTGAGATCCCCTGCATTGGGGCATGGGCTCCGGCCAGGCCCATCTGGTGCAGGTGGGTCTTCTCTTTCCACCCTGTCCACAGAGCCAGCAGACTACAGCATCTACAGACCGTGACCCCTCCCTGCAGAAATCATCTCAGCCATCCCTGCCAACACCCCAGCACCTCAGTGCACTTGGCAAGTGGGCTGCCTGCCTTCCTGAGCCCCCCCAGGGACCACCTGGGGGTGGCGGTGGGGGGAGGCCTCGGATGGAGCCACAGGCTGGTGCTCATGCTCAGCAGGCCATCTGTGCTGCTGTGTGCCCTGGGCACAATACTAGGGCTCCCTGAGCTCCTCTGGCTTCACCTGACCTTCAGCAGGTTCAGGAGCCAAGCTGTGCAGATAGGCCTTACCCAGCTGGGTGCTGAGCAATGAGAGGGGCATCTGTTAGACTTTGCTTTCTCCCACGACCCATTCCTCCCTCCCACCCTTCCCCAGTGATCCCTGCCGTCACGTCACATTGACAAGGAATGCTCTTCAAGGACCATTGCCCCCACTCGAGTGCTGGCTTTGTACACATCCCACACAGGGAGCTCAGACAGTCCCAGGCAGGCGGCCCCTAGGGACCTGTCTGTCCAGCCTATAAGACAGAAGCAAAGAGGCCAGGTGGGGAAATTCAGGGGAGAGAGGCTGCGGGCTGCAGGGAGGGCGGGGAAGGCACAGTTCTGCACACAGAGGTTGGGTTTGAATTGCCCTAGAGCCCTGGGGTGTGGAGATGTCTATAGGCCTTTAGGTTGTATACTGCACAAGGGCCAACTGAGAAGCCCATAAACGTCCTGCATCTAGACACATTTGTCTCCCACTGGAGCCTCCGAGACCTCGCAGTCACTCCCTTGGGCCTGGGTCCAGCAAATTGGAACCATGTATGGGGCAGAGTCGCTGGGACGCTGACATGAGACAGCCTTGTGTTGCGTGGCATGGCTGTGGATTTTGCACAGTTGAAGGCTGAGCTCTGCCTCTTCCCAGCTGGGCGATCTTGAGATAGTTCGTGAACTTCTCTGAGCCCTTTCCCCAGCATTTAAACAAATAAAGGTATAAAACTGGCAGAGTGAAGCTTGCCAATAGCTTATGTACTTTTTCCATATGAACATAGCTGCGCACACCTCTCTAAAAAGTTCCCTTGTGGAGCTTCTGTTTCTTCACCAAAAAAGAGGGGGGGGGGGAATGATAGCTTCACAGAGCACTGGAAAGGCAGAACAAGAAGAGGCCTGTCACACCCTGGGTCAGGTGTCCTGCATGCAGCCTGTGCCTGATCCACAGGGGGCTGTTACTTCCCTCCCAGGTTTGCTCAGCAAGTTCCGCATACACTAGTTTCTCCAAGAGCCTGTATTTTACCCCTAGAAAACTAACCCTACATCTACAGCTACATGAACTCACTCCACCCCAAACTGCACACAAGCATTTTTAGGGATCTCTTTACCTCCCCAATGGCCCCTGACTCATTTCACATTTGTCAGGAAGAAATTGAAGGCACTGGCCCTTCCTCCCCTGGAACACTCCAGGGACACTCCCGGATCAGATGAGAGCAGAGGGGACAACAGAGAGAAGAATAAATCTTGAGACAAAGTCCCTCAGTTCCTCTACCAGTACAGACTGATGCAGCTGAGAGCGATACAGCCTTGAGTTGGCCAGAAATGACAGGAGCACTGCAGTCTAGGTCTGGATAGGAAATGCTCCTCCCAGGAAATAGGAGGCCAGCGCAGCCACAGTCAAGGTCCCGGGACCTGGAATTATTATCTATTGGTCAGCTCTGGTCCTACACTCCAGCTACCTTCCTCTGGGTGTCCCACCAGGAAGCCTGAAGCCTTGTGTGGGCATGAGTGCCCCCTGCTGGGCAAGGATATGCCCCGAGGATAAAACATGGCCTGAAGACAGGTAGGTAAAGGTTGTCATCTGTGCACACACATATGCATGTGTACTACAAATAATCAATAAATATAAAACATAATAAAAATATAAAATTAAAAAGATAAACCTTCCTGGGCTGTGGTGGTGGCACACGCCTTTAATCCCAGCACTCAGGAAGCAGAAGCAGGTGGATCTCTGAGTTTGAGGCCAGCCTGGTCTACAGAGCCAGTTCCAGGACAACCAGGGCTGTTACACAGAGAAACCCCCGTCTCAAAAAAAAAAAAACCAGTCAAACAAACAAACAAACAAAAAGGATAAACATTTAAGAGACAGAGCCTGCAAGAGACAAACAGTAAATGGACTAAGCAGCTTTGTTTCAGCTCACGGTTTGAAGGTGTAGTCCCTCATGATGGGGAGGGCACAGCAGCAGAAGTGGGAAGCATATTGCACCTGCAATCAGGAATCGGAGAGCCATGAGTGACTGCTCAACTCATTCTCTCCTTTTTACTCAGTCCAGCTCTCCAGCCCATGGGATGGGGCTGCCCTCATTCAGGGTGGGTTTCCCACCCTCGGTTAAACCTTTCTGGAAACATTGTAACAGGTATACCAAAAGGAGCGTTTTCATGATGACTTTATATTCAGTCAAGTTGACAGTGAAGCTAACCATCACAAGGTCATTACTGGCTTTCCTCTCTCTGGCTTCCTGTCTGGCCATGTGATCACTTCTTTGCACAAGTGCCCCACAACATAGCATCATCCAGCATGAAGTAGGTGATGTGTATAGAGGGCTGTTTCGATCTCTGCCCTTCAAAACTGTGAGCTAAAGAAATCTCTTTTCTTGGTTAGTTACCCAGCCACAAGGATTTCCTGATGGTAATGGGAATGGAGTGATATTGAAGCTTCACTCCCTCTGGGATCTCAATTGTTCTTTGTCCTTTAATCTGATATAGTCTCAGTCTAGGAATTAGTATGTGGACATCCTTGGAGTAGGAGGTCTGTGACTCATCCACATCTCCTCCCATGGCCAGGACTGGGAGGCTCTGTGATCCCTGTTCATCAGAAAAGCTGGTTAACGTCGCGTACTGGTAGCTCTACGTGTCGCCTCTCTTCCCTTCACGTTTGAGTTGTTGCAGTGCCCCAATTCTCTTTCTGTCAGTGCGCAATCATGACTTGTTGCAGACAACGAGACCCAAAGACTAATCTAACTTTGAAGGAAGAGACTATAAATCACCGGGAGACTCAGACTTAGGTGATCACAAGCCTTTGGTTTGTTTCTGTTTGGGGGGAGGTATTATTCTTTGTGTAGATGAAAGCATATGTGACTGTTACCCCACCATAGGGTTGCACAGTGACTTTGTTCTGCTCGGCCCCACACATTGCTTCATTTATTTTAGGTAGTGTGGTCCCTAAACCTCAGTACCACAGCCAACAGTGAGGCCTGAACCTGGCTAATCAGCGTCATATCTTTCTGACTATGGGGACTTGTTCAGTAAAGGACATCGGAAGCAGTGAGATTAAGTATTTGAATATTCATAGGGACCATTGAGAAAGACTCTTTGTTTTGGTCCTATAACCGTGTGACTTTGAACTCTTGATCCTCCTGTCTCCATCTCCCAAGTGCTGGCTTTTCAGATGTATGCCGCCACATCTAGACATGAGCAAATTTTTGCCACTCTATGACAATGAGATCATTGATCACAAATAATGACTTGAGAGCATTATGGAGTTTGTAGAGATCTGTTTTACTGTCCCCTCATTTAATCATCACTCAACGTGCAGGAAATCAGGAATTTAAGCGTGGTTTTATAGGTAAGAAACACAGAGCCTAAGAGAGAAGTGATTCGTCCTTGGTCACATGTTCACTAACGCCCTGCCAGAACTGTTTTTTCTCTCACCTCCTGTGTTGCCTTCTGGGAAGATGAGGAATCAGAACAAGTTCTGGGAAGTAGAATTTGGGCATGAAGGATACTCTGATGGGAGAAGGTGGAAGGGCATGTTAGCAGAGGGAACTATGTGAGCCAAAGCCAAGAGGCAGAAATGGAGGTTTGGCCGGCTGGCCAACACTACGTGTGGACAGACTCAGGAGTGGACAGGTATTATTATGTACCATGTTGAATAATTTGCAGTTTAAAAAAAAAACAGAGTCCCCTGGCTGTCAAGAATAGATGGTATAGAGGTATCTGGAGAGGACTGTGCTAAAACCTTCAGTAACTCAAATCTCTGAACTCTGAGTATTAAATCTATGGATTGGTACTCCAGTCACTCTGAGGAGTGGTGCCCACCATGCTTGGCTTCCTGGGGTGATACTCTCTGTCTTAGACCTGGAGAATAGGTCTGTTAGTACCTTATCATGAAGTCAGATATATGCACAGATGGGCTAACATTCTAGGCTTCCATGTGAATCTTCAGTTGCCACGGTGTGTGGCGTTGAGCAAAGCTTTGCACCTTTCTGAGCCTTAGAGTCCCCACCTGGACATTGGAGCTGAGGTTAGGATGCAATAACCAGAGTAAAGCTTCCTTCTCCCTGTAGCACGAATTCTAATTGTTCTTAGTAATAAAAACCTGGAGTCAGATATTAGGGGAAAAAGCTGAAAGATCGGAGAAGCAAAGCAGCCGGCTGCTAGCTCTTACCTCTACCTCAGACCAAAGGGGCAATCCTGTCTCCTGAAATCCTCAGACTGAATGCTTCCTCAGCCTGACTGCCTCGACTGCATCTGTCTCTATGAATCCTCAGGTTGCTTCTCTCTCTTGTCTCTTCCCACCTTATACTCCTCTCTCTGCCCAGCCATATCACTCCTGTCTCCACCTCCCTAGTGCTGGAATTAAAGGCATGTGATCCCAAGTGCTGGGATCACTTTTTTGTGAGCTTTGTTTCTCTTTTAGACAGATTCAATCTCGTGTAGCCCAGGGTGGCCTTGAACACACAGAGATTGTCTGCTTCTATATCCTGAGTACTTGGATTAAAGGTGTGCACCACCACTGCCTGGCCTTTATGGCTAACTAATGTGGCTCTGATCTTCAGGCAAGCTTTGTTAGATCATAGACAAAATATCACTATACCTCCTTGCTTCCATCCATCATTTCTTCCTCTGGAGACAACATATCAGAAGGCTGGTTCTCACTGAGCCCTTTTGAGCCTGCATTTCTGCTTCCTGGCAGCTTCAAGCCTACAGCCCGAGTCCTGTCTCTCAGAAGAAAGCCCATCTGTGGACTTCTGGGACACTGTGACTCTTGCCAAAAGTGCAAGTCACTCCTTGTCCTTATGTGTCTGTCCCCTTTGGTGCTCACTTGTCAAGGAGCAGTCCTGTGTCCACTGCAGCCGGCATACTGCTTGGTGCCCAGTGCCTAGGGGACACTCTTCAGAATAAGTGGCCTCAGAGTCATCTCCTGAAGTGGTCAGATGGCAGCTCCTGGCATGATGGGTGACGGCCCGGCCTCTGAGTGCCCTTGGGAGGTCTCCTCTGAGTATGTGTAAGGATGGTGGGGCAGGAGGAGCTGCAGCTCCAAGAGACAGGCAGGCCTGTCCCCATGGCACAGCTGAGGGGCTCAGCTTTGCTCAGGACCAGCCTTCCAGTAAGCACTAAGCTGGGATTCGACCCAAGATCCACGGCCAAGGCCCATCTACTGCTTATTTCAAGCTCCATGGATCCGCGCATTTCTTTTCATTCAAATGTTTTATTTATTTCAACCAGGATTTCTGTTTGCACTAGAGCTTTCTGACCTTCAAAATGATACTGGCCTAGAGAAGAAAAGGGAAAAGTCATTCTTGAAGTGTTTCCCAAAGCTGAATTATGATCCAGAGCTGTCCTGGGGTACCAGCCCGCTCCATTGTTCTCAGACATCCATATAAAAGCCGTTCCCCACAACAAGCTGTGAACGTCTAAGCAAATGTGTCAACTTCTGAACAATGGTCATTCCCTGATCCTGGCTGGATATTAGCCAAGGGCTGGATATCAGCCCAAGTGAGTTGCTCAATGCTCTCCCTGGAGGGGGCTTGCTGGATGGGAGGGATTTTCCAGCGTGACTTGGATGAACCTAGAGCTATTTCCCCACTGAGCAGCTCCAGCCTGAGAGGCACCAGCAGCCTCAGCTAAGGGGTTGTGGGGACAGAACAGGGATGTGGGTCTCCCAGTCTCCTGATGACCGGCCTGGTTCTGTGGCCCTCAGAAGTCTCTGTAGGATTTAGGCCTATATA